AAGTCTTGCTTGCTACCCGAGGGGTGCCTGTTCTGCCTGAGCGCATAGAAGGTGGAGTGGTCCAGCTTGTGCGGGAACTTCTCTTGCATGAGGAGCTGAATCTGACGCAAAGGGTTATCTCGGATGCCCTCAAACATGTCCTTAGCACAGAGGCGATTGTCGATCTCAATGACGATTTCAGCAATGGCATTGGTCTTGAACTCAAAGGCAGGTGACGCCGTCAAAGTATAAGAGATCTTACCCTCGAACGTGAGAAGCGTCACGATGCGCTTGTAGCTGGTGTTGATGGCACCGTCGTGCACGACAACCTCATACGGGCCAGAAGCAAGTTTGGAGAACTGCTGAAGCTGCCCATGCTCGATCACCGGGATGATAGCAGCAAGTGGTTGTTTGGTTTGGATCTTGGCGACTTCAGTCAGTTGATTCTTGGTGATCATCACAATTCCTCCCTTCGCTCCAGTGAGCTGATGCCGGTGAACCTGAGGTACAACGGTCTTGTCCGCAAGTCTAAAGGGGTGATCAGCATCAAGCCGAAGGTCCTCCCATTTCGCCTGAGCCGACGGCAGTTTCTTGGCCCATGGATCCCGAATCTGCAAGAGATCAACCGCAGGGTCAGTGTGGACATCCATAGGTTGAGGCTGCTGAGAAGGAGAAGATGCCGAACCAGGAGTAAGGGCTCCTCCAGACGCAAATGCTGGCGTGAACCTTCCACGGAAGAGATCATGGAGGTACCAGATGGTGGCATCTTGGGCAAAGGCATGCAGACCAACTATGTGTGATGAGGCCCAAAGCTCATTCCCAAGCAAGATGGCTGCTGCCAAACGCGAATCATCCATAGCAGCGGCGATGCATGTGTAATGGCAATCCCTGGTCTCGGCATTGTAACCTCAAGCTTGTTGAAAAGCTCAAAGAGCGGGGTCCATCCGCACAGGCCAAGCTGAGTGTCACAAGGAAGGTGAATGAGCTGAAAATCACCTTCTCCAAACCCAGTGAGTATCTGAAGCTGGTCAACCAAACATTGGAGGTCATGAGCAAAATCGTTGGCGCTAAGACCCAAGCAATGGTACGATCCTGTTGACGATGAAGTTCACAGGAGATCCAGTGTTGATCAAACAAGATCAGAGAGATTGCCCTCCGATGGAAGCGGCAATCCTCCTTGTATCCACTGAAGGTGCACATCGTCTTGGCAATGGAGTTCCACATCATTGGAGCTGTGATTGCGATCTCTGGATGAGCAGTTCGAAGCAGTTGAAGAGCACAGTCCGCAACATCACTGCCAAGCCAACCCGGGAATTTGTGAAATTCGTCAACTCTTTGGTTCTGAAACTCCCTCACAAAGTGGTCGTATTCATCATAGTGCAGAACCCTGCCAGGGAGAGAAAGCGAGGGGCCTCGAGGCAGTTCCACATAGATGGCATGGTCGATGACCGGGGCTGCATCATTGTCATTGAGGGCGAGGTGATAGAAACATCCAAGGCGAATTTGTCGAGCAAAATGCCACAGAATGGGAGGAGCATCAGCAGCGATCCAATCCTCAACTGAGCTGGAAAGAACTTCATGGATGAGCGAGTACTTCCATTCAACAAAATCTTCAAGATCTTCTTCATATGACTTCAGCTGGTCATGCTGACCCAGTTTCTCAAACCATCGGTACAGCAAGGCCCACCCACACATGTGGAAGGGCTGAGGGAAAGCATGGACGAATGTCTGGATCTTCCGCCCTGTAGTGTCAAGGCGTCGAGCAAATATCTGACCAAGTCGATGTGCCTTCAGACTGTCGACCCCAAGGAAGGTGATCTGCACATCGTCACTGACACGGGAGACCTCACAACCAATCCAGTGGGAGTCAACCAAGATGGCAAACCAAGTAGTAGACTCAGGGGCAACGTTCGGAAAGGAGAACGTGGTTTCGTCAAAGTCGGAGTCAATAGCATTCCATTGCAAAAGAGCAAAAGAAATGCACCGTTCCTCGTGGTCAGCGAGGAGCCATGACATGGCATACTTGATCTCGTCGGACGCACACCAGCCATTGGTATTGATGGCAAACTCGCATCGCTCTGACAGATTCGCGCCCGCTCTCAACTGCCAAACGACCTTCTCAGCCTCGGGGTGCCCACCAGCAAAGACCCTCTGGGTGTTCTCGACTCGTCGAAGCTGGTCATCTTGAAACACCGTGGTGAAGACATCTCCATCACAAACTTCGTGAGATCGGTCCGCATCAAGGGTCACTCCATTGATGCGCTGGATAATGAGAGACTGTTCGTGACGAAGGATGACAGTGTGCGGGGTGACAAAGCCTTCAAGTTCCACAATTTGATAGTCAATGATGGAGGTGAGGTTCTCGATGACACAAGGCTTGTTCGCCTCAGGGTTCTGGAGCACCCACCACTCGTGATGAGGAAGCCGAACAGACCTGCCACGTAGCCTGCGGAATTGCCAATGTCGAAAGCCGAACTGATGCAAACAGTCATGGATCATCCGAAAGTCAGCAGATTGTGATCTGGAAGTCACAAAAACCAACTGGGGATCAATGCAGCAGAGCACCGTAGGAATGACATCCTCCTGCAGACCAAAATAGCCGCGGGCTGAGGCGTCCTCAAAGAACTTGATCAAGACCAAAAAGTTCTCCTTTGCACTCTCGAGTTCATATGGGGCTGATGGAACCAAAACGGTCTCAATCTGGGCAACCGGGATGAAAGGACAAGTGGGCGACAGCTGAGGAATTTCATCTTCCTGATTGCCTTCTTCAAAGCAAATTGTAGCAACTTTGACAGCAGCCACACAGACATCCCAAGTCCAGGAAAGCAAAGTCAACTCGAAGATTGAGTCTGCAGCGGAGGCAACCACAAGCCCGTGTCTCAGCGAGAACTGTGAAGCGGCGTGTGGCTCAATCTGGATCATGCTGGACAACAGCTGGGTGACCGTCCAATCCCCGTCACAGCTTCCCACGAAGCTTGCAGGGCCATGCACACTGTCGAAAGTGAACTTCATGGGTGCACGAACACAGGAATCGGGTCGGAAAGAAAGTCTCTCAACAAGCGAGGAAACATGAACAATCGAAATAAAGTTCCCTTCATCAATGACAATGGCGTTTTGAGACGTGACACGCTTGTTCCAAACCTGGCAAACAATGCTCTCAATATCAAGGCAAGACCTGTTGATGGCTTGGAGCCCTACAAGCAGCGCGAGAGATGCCTGTGGGATCGAAATGGCGTTCCCAAGTCCATGGAAGGCATCAAGTGGATTCGACGGAAGCGAAATCCTATTAACCCCTCCCAACAAGGCAGCAATCCGTGTCGGCTCAATCAAATGCATGGACCCTTCATTGACCATGAACGAAGCGAACAACCCTTTGGAAGCGACATGATTGGAGTCAAGTTCATGTTGTCTACCATACATGGCACAGAAAGTAGGAAGTGGTTCATTCAGAGCAACCGCTCTTTGCATAAGGACACTTTCCCGGTCTGCGTCAGGCGAAAGCCGAGCCTTCTTGGCAGGTGGAAGGAGATGATGAGCTCCATAAACCATCTTCATGTCTTCGGTCAGAACAAGGCCACGCAGAAACTCCTGAGGCAAGGCAAACGTGTACAACTGGCTGTGCCATGGAGAACGAAGGGACTCATGAAGGTGATACACCTTACTGTTGGGCTCATGTTCATGGTCGGCTCGAACCCAAACCGACAGCCAACGGTCTCGCTTGGTATCCGAGAGCGAATGGAGAGACGAGATCTGCTGCCACACCCTCCTGAAACCCCCTAACTTGAGCAGGTGCGAAATCAAGCCAAAGTGCGAATGGTTGAGGATTTCATCAGCGCATTCGAACACTTGGATGCTCGGGCGAAGGGCCAGAGTGATGATCACTGCCTCAACAAATGCGAAACCTGCATCTGAGTTCAATCCCTTCGAACGCCCTGCTTTGCTCCAAGAGACACACGGTGGCGATGCTGTACCAACAGAGTTCGAATGAAAGATCACCTGGTGCATCAAAGACCGATCATCTACAGGGGTACAAATTCCGAGGTGGCTTGCAGGATTCCATGGGAGCAAGTGTGAAGTCCTACCCAAATGATGAGGCCTGCCGACCTGCTGGGACCAAAGGCCCATAGTGACCGGATCACTATCGATGCAAACCTGTTGCCCAAGAGGAGGGAACAAAGGGTCCTTGAGAAGACATTCGATGGCTTGAGACCAACCTCCAAACGATCCTGAGAACAGATGGAACAAATTCATTGGCGACGTCCTGACCCATCTCGCGGCTGGGATAATGCAAACGTCTTCGGCCAATGAGAGCGAAGTCCCATTCTCACTTCCAATCCCTCCAAAGAACGTGAAAGAAATGCCTTCACTCACTCGAACGGCTCGATCATTCAGTCGGGGGATATGCAGATCCCAGCACTCATTTGGTCCCTCTTCAAACCCAACACCCGGAATGAACCGGTGAGGGCAAATCACCAAGGAATTCTCATTGCAAGACACCACTTTTCCCTGAAACAAGCCCAGCCCAGAAAACCGAATAATGAAATCCGAACTTCCAAGAGCCTCAACAAGGTCGATCAACTTTGATCTCCAGGGTTCCTCAATTTTCTTGTGGATCATGTCAAGCACTCTAGACTGGATATTGTCATCGAACCACGACGAAGCCACACGTGGGCGCGCCATCACATGGACCGAGATGCCGCCACAGGGGATGGCCGCTTTGTAGACGTCGCACCTAGGCCTAAAGACAGCCTAGCCAGCGACCCTGGGTGTCTCGTGCACCCTGAGCTCTGCGGCTTTGAACCTGGAGAGCTCTCACGTCTATTCTGTTCATTTTCTATGGTCAACCAAACGTCTTTTACACAGAGCCGTGTCGAGATGTTTGTTTTGACACGGAAACCAAGTACCTTCTGGGATGCTGGTTGAACGCTGGTAAGCCAGCCTGTTTCTATCCGTTTTTGAGGTCCACGTGCTCGGCCTTCGCTCGACCGGGTGTCCTGGGTCGACATTGTGCCGGTGAACAGGTGCGCGATCACTTCCTCTCGCCCATCATGGACTCAACAGACAGAAGGCTCCCGCAAGAAAAGCAAACCTGGTCGAGCAAAATCGGCACAAGCTTTTCAGTCGAGGTGCTCGAAAGGAACAAAAGAAGTGTCAATGCGTGGGAGAAGTTTTGCAGAGTCTTGTTTGTTTTGTCAGAGTGCCGTTGAATTAATTTTATAATGAACTGAAGTGAAAGAATGAATTAAAAAACTGTGTGTGATATGACGGTTGTGGAGGTACTTGGTGATTGATGCCTCCAAGTTCCAAGATCGGAGAAAGGCCCGAAGCTGATGTCATTTCGTGCTAGTGTTGGCGAATGTGCTTCGCAGCCTTTGCTCTACCAGAATGCATGGGCATGCAGTGCACAGCCGAGATTGCAAGACCAGTTAGTTACTTGATGTTAATTACTTGTATTGTGCTGACTGACTCTGTTGACTACAAGGGCAAAACAAGACCCCAAGACCTTGCTCACCACCGTGGCATTTTGCATGTCCCTCACTTAGGCTCACTTTGTTCATTAGTCGGATCCTAGCATACAGTCAATTGTACCTACTGGTCTTGATGGTTCACTGGCAGGCCCGGGAAAGCCTGCTGCCAGCAACGAAGCATGTTTCAAAAATACCACCCTGACTTAGCAAGCTTCACAGAAAGAGGAACGCTTCAGAATCCAATCTGCAAGTTGCGAGATTGGGAGCTCTGGTTTTGTTTCACCCGCCCTGGAAGGCTTCAAAGTTAATCTGAAAGGGCTGACAACTGTCCTTGTTCGTACCCTTTGGTGAACAAGACAGCTGGCTACAATGGCCCGTTTAGTTTTTTGTTCATGTCAGAGTCACAGTCAACTAGGCTGAGGGCTGAGAGTGGTTGGTTTGCCGTTTGCCATTGTTGCCCATGTACAAAGCTTTTTGAATGGCTTACAAAGATAAGTTGAACAAAGGAGGAGCTCAGGAGCTTTGCTGCTTGTGGCAATGTGTTGTAGTAGCGTCCCATTGCTCCTAGTAGTAAGGCCAGGAGCCCCTAATAGGGTCCTTGCTCCTAGTGGCGATGCCCTTTGCGTGTGGCCATGTGTTGTGAGTCATTCCTTTGGGCGTTTTTCCAGGGATTTGGGACCACCTCCTTCGATGGTGTTCCACTCTCCAGCGGGTGGCGCAACGGCCATACGGGTGGCTATGACAAGATGTTCTTTGGTTATGGGCGGAATGAACGTCCACATTCAAGCTACCTCCATGTTCAATATTTTCAGAATCCTGACAAACCACTCGCACCCTTGACCGTGCCCGATGAAAGTCCAAAAGAGGAGTCAAGGCAAGACACCTTGAAGCATTCTTCCAAGCATATTTTGCGACTGGCAAGTCTCCCGCTAGTTGGATGACCAGCAGCGCAGGCTGAAACTGGGGGCTGCGCCTTCGAACCGCCCACTCTACTTGATGTTGCAAGATGTTGCAAGCATTCTTTGTGCCCAAGAATCTGATTTGTTTAACGGCTGAGTTTGCTCTTTGGTACTGCCTTACTCTGAAAATATGACCAGCATTATTTTGAGCGCGGTAGTCGCTATTCCTTTGGAGCACCGCATTCCACTGCATTGAGGTGAAAGAAGCAAGTCCTTTGACAAAAATAACTTAACATACAATAACTTTTGCATTGAACAGTGGTTGTAGACATTGAGCACCGCACCTTTTGCCCGCTCTCCAGATGAGTTTGCAGATTTGCACCACTCGACCAGCTGCCCTTGCATAACCTGTGCCTGAAACAAAGACTGCCCGGTCGCGCAGACACTTTTTTCAATCCCAACGCTCTTGGCCATTGAGCTGATGGTTTTCAGATAATCAACATCCTAAGCCTTAGCGGCACGCGCAGCTCAACCTTTATCAGCCGAGATGAATCCAGAAAAAGACTCGAGGAAGATACGTTTGTCCGAGTCTGCTTTGTCGAGTTTCTGTCCGAGTCCCGCCTTGATAAGAGGCTGGCTTGTGAGATACGTCTTGAAAGAAATGGGCAGCCCTGGAGTAAGACTCGTCATTGCTGCGCCATGCAACTTGGGTCTGCTAAGTTGCATAAGTTGCATAGGTGTGGAAAACCGCTGACACGTAAATTGCCGGTCATGCGGATTTGGAGCAAGAGGCGACAAAGCTACGGACAAGAGTCTTATATACGTGGTGCCAATAGTGCATGTCAAATACAGGGATATATGATATACAATATTGGGTTTCCAAGTTGATGAAGCTTGGAGCATTGGAGGGGTTCTTCTTTCTCATGCTGATCCTGGTTTGCACTTTTGGACAGTTCTGTCTCCGGCAATGGCTATGCTCACTCACATGGATGACCTGTTGGCGGTTGCCGACTGGACCCGTGGCCGTGGTATGTGGTTGGCGGGCACTGGCTGCAACTTGCTGGGCTTGGCAGGTGGTTCCCTCATGATGCAGGGTTCTTGGCAGTCATGTTGGCGGGAAAAGCTCGCGTAAAGAAGGGGCTGCATTTTTTACAGGACGGAACAATAGCAGCGATGCCCTTTGCTCCTAGTAGCGTTCTTGTTCCTAGTAAATAGCAGGAGCTACGTTCGTAGCTTCTTGCTCCGTTCGGTTCGCGATGCCCGGAATGCTCCGTTCGAAGAGGGAGAGTTACGGAAAGGCTGAGCGAGCGACCCGTGGAGTTCCAGCGAAGTAGGCCCCCTCTGGGCTGTTGTAGTGACAGCTGCCTATTGTGCCCGAAAGACTCCGACTGGGCAGACCAGTCGAACTGTTCCGTTTGTTGTTGGTGTGGTTTTGGCTTCCTGGGAGCTTGTTTTGCCTGGTTCGGTGCTTCACATCATGCTTTTCTCACCATCCACCACTTCACCTCACGCAAAAGCAAGGGAGGACCCTATGATGCCCGCTGCTCACCTACCGTCTTTTCCGTTTTGGCGTATACGTGTCGTCACATCTTTATGCCGCTTTGCTTGCGCGAGCCACGAACTTCACCCCCTGCCGGCCTTCGCCTGGTTTGGAAGCTCCCACGCCTTGACGACGCCGACCTGCAGCTGGCTTTTTACTCACGGCCACGCCACACTGCGATCCCTCGAGCTGGTGTGCTAAGCTATCCTAGATTCACCGCGGGCGACGCACCCTTCGCCCCGCACCGGGCTTGGACTTCCGCCTTTTTGAGGGAGTGCACTGGCCCACCACACGCACAGCGAAAGGCATTCGCAATTATCCCGGAAAGCTGCTCCAAGCAAGAACAATCAAAAATGAGGGTACTTACTGTAGTAGTCCCCCCAGCAACAGTTCAACAATGGATTTGCCACTAATGGTCATTGTCTATGTGTTGAAGCCAGTCGAAGTCATCAGAAACACTAAACAGCGCAGACCCTGGTGAGCAGAAAGTGGCTAGAGAGTCCTTTGCGGCAACGACGAATACTGGGTCACTTGCTGGCCATCGGAACGCGCAGCGAAGCGCGTGCAGTAGAGTAGAGTTGGCACTGCGAAGGCGCGAGTGCAGCTTCAGGTGTTAGTTACAGATGCCCGCTACAAGCATCGCCATGTATTGAAGCACAAGCATTGCCATTTCGACCCAGTGTGACGCAGTCTTCGGAGAAGACTGATAAACCAAGAAGCAGTCACTGCAACATTGCGGCGCCGAGTGCCGGTGGACAGAGGGCAGAACTCCACATGCGGCCAAATTGTTCCTCCCGCTTGACCCTGCCCTTCAATGCTGCACAAACTCTTTTAAAGGCACGCGGCACAGGTCCCACAGACTGCGACAACTGCACCACACGCGGTGCATCCATATCATCGCTCGCGGCCAGCTTCATGGTAGTCGCCGAAGCCTGTCATCACAGCATGCTGTAAGAAAAGGCTCGACAAGGCAACAGGAGGCAGCAGACTCACGAGTTCTTTTAGGAACTGATTTTTCAAGGCTTTCACCGTCAGCTCTTGTCCATTTTTCCGGCGCTCCGTACCCCATACGTTGCACGTTGAACGGAATTTGGATTGAGCACCTGCCAACCATTCCAACAGCGAGGACACAACATCGTTTCCCAACACCAGATCAGACTGGGTGTCCAGCCAGCAAAGCATCGAGAGAATGACCGTGGTAAGTGAAACTGCTGGCTATGCTATGGCTGTTTCTGTGCAGACTACGAACCATCTACAAAACAAACCTCATGCGAAGCGATTCGTTTTTTTTGTTCTGCCACCCAGTGTATTGCAAAACGTCCGGGTTCCCTTTTGACTTTGGCCATGGCCGTGGCCCCCCACATTTTGCTCGAAGGTTGGGAGCACCTCAAGAGTTGTAAAGGACTGGAAGTCTGGAAGCCTAATTCTTCCCGAAATCATCAGCGAAGGGCTCTCCTTCAAAAACGTGTACCAACTTCAACAGTCGAAACATCATGCTTATCATGCTTATCATGCTTATCATGCTTATCATCATCATCATCATCACCATCACCATCACCATCACCATCACCATCACCATCACCATCATCGCCACCATCGTCACCATGCTTATCGTCATCAGCAGTATCATCACCATCAGCATTGTCATTTTCATTGACACCACTGCAATTGTTATCAGCATCATCAGCACCATCCTCATCATTATCATCACCACCGTCATCGTCAGCAAAATTGGAAGTTGCACACATGTAGGTGATTGTTAAGATTGGTGGTATATCAAACCTACATTGGATACAGGTGTGTTAATACACGTCTTGGGACATAGGTATAGTTGATATGCGTGTTGTGACAGGTGTTGGGGCATAGGTGTGGCGATAATTGATGCAGAAGTTGAGATACAGGTGATACAGGTGTTGAGATACAGGTGGTGCAGGTGTTGAGATACAGGTGTTAGTTGAGATCTAGGCCAAAGCACCCACACCATTCACCTACACAACTATCAAAACACAACCCTCAGTGGAGATTGTGCATGTTGGATGCGCGAAACCGTGGTGACATATGTCGACACCACCGTCGCCTCCCCGCCCACCAGTGCCGGCCAGGCCCGGCGGCGAGGAGACCAATACGCAGGGCACGTCGCTGCAAAGAACCCACCTACCCAGAACTTCTTGCCCCCGGGGCGTTGCTGCCTCGCCGTCCTGGCCATCGAAGCCGGGGGGCGCTTTTGTGCCGAAGCCGTAGCCTTCCTCCGCCCCTTCTCACAAGCCAGAGCTCGGGCTGTTCCCGGCTACCTCCTGTAAAAGACCTTGCTGGCCACTCCAGAGTCGACGGACATTCGCCCACTTATTATGACCTCCTTGAACAAGACGGAGACCTCCCGGCTCGCCACCTCCCCTTACAGGGGGCCGTGGCTTGGACTTGGCCCCTGTTCGCTCGGAAGCGGCTCACCAACAGCTTCTCCCCTCCCACCTTCGTCATGGGACAAGGAGGAGAAAACTTCACCTATACGCCTTCCAAACCAACCAGTTTGCAGACGCACGCCGTTGTTTTTTCGCTCATTTGGCGCCATCCCGCGACAGAGTCTGTTCGTGTCTGCCCTGCCAGCTCTTCCCGCCGTCCCATGACAGCGCAGGAGTGGCAGACCATCGGCCTCACCCCGCAGTGCTTGCTCCCCGGTCCCTTCGCCAGCCGAACTTTCACCGGGCATCAGATTATCCCGGCAAGAGGCCCCAAACAATGTGTGTGTGTGTGTGTGACTAGAGATCTAGAAGCATTGGGGTCCAGAGAGGTGATGGTGGTGTTGAAGTGAAGGTGGGTGCGAGTGAGTGTGGGTGAGTGAGTGAGTGTGCGTGTGAGTGAGAGCGGGGGAGCGAGCGTGAGTGCGGGTGTGCGTGAAAATGAGTGTGGGTGAGAGTGGGAGTGAGAGTGAGAGTGAGAGTGAGTGTAAGTGAG